AATTTACCAGGAGGCATGGTATCTTTCACAGGTGAATACAGTAGTACAGACTGAAATCATGTGAAGCTGGCAAATGCAGAGCTTAGAGGGATAGTTCACCCAAACATGAAAATCATGTCATCATTTACTCAAACCTGTATGATGTTGGATTAATAAATGGAAAATGCTTCTGCAGATGACATATGATTATTTATTTTTTAATTTACAAGCAACAGTCCTGCAGAGGCTGTCGGTCCGTTACCATGGAGACAGAACTCTCGCAGTGCCTCTCCATCACAATAATCTCCTCACTCCGTCTCATCATCAGCACAGCTTCATCATCTTTACAATATAAATTGGGTAGAGTAAAATGTTTTTAATACAAGCATTTCAGTCAAATATTATTTATGCAACATGTCAAACCTTTAACCGGTAATAAAAATAACTCGGAACAGCAGTTTAAATGTAGCCCCGGGTAAACCATGGGGTTGGCAACTCCAAACCTCCTGGGGTTTCTAATGCTTGGATTCTCTCAAGTCTGCTTTTGATGCATCCTCAATATCAAGAACACATGCGGGTTCTTTCGTGCGTCCCCTGTACTTGAGTTCTTTAGTACTGGGACTCTTCCAGGAAGTTTATTCTAGCAAGCTGTTTTGAACCCCCAAAACAAAGTCCAAATTCCCTTCGTTTTGACCTGATTTTGTTTGAAATTATGTCACAGCAGTTCGTTCTTCAGAGTTTGAATTGAAGGCGTTGACACTGGTTTTAATGGCTGGCTGCTATACTGCTATACCTCAGTTCACTTCTCCAAGTGTATACTCCCTGACCTGCACTGAATGAGTGACACCTTGCTCCTTCACAATGAGACACTAGCACGCTGTCCAGACCCTTCACTCTCTCTCTGCTGGAATGAGCTTCTAACCTCCACCCGATATGCTCGGACCATCACAGCTTTCAAGAAGCAGCTGAAGACACTTTTTATTTACATTTACATTTAGTCATTAAGCAGATGCTTTTATCCAAAGTGACTTCACTTCACCACTCCATTAGGGCTGTCGAGATAACCACAATATTGTAATATCGCGATATTGACAAGCAACTGCTACAACCGCAATGTTCAAGGCTTTGTTCTGGAACAACTGAACGCCCTGAAGAGTATCAGCCTCATGTCTTCCTCTCCTCCCAAGACCATGCACTGCATCTTATTTATCAAATGCATCTAAAGGTCAGGACTGAATGCAACAGTAAAGACCGTAAGGATCATCTGTGTGCGTGTGGCGAGAGTCCGGCTCTTCTTCTGCACTGAACTGTCCCGCAGTAGTTTAGATTTGAGCCATTCACCTGCTATAGGCTTTTGGTGAGCTAATTGTCAAGAGTCGATTAAATATTAGATAAATCAATAGTAAATGTAATGTAAATGCAATCAGAAGAGCATGTGGGCGGAGTCTTTCTGCCAGCGCACTGCACTCACACACACAAAAATGGAAGTACATAATATAATTCATAAATATACTTAAAATTTAAACATTATTAAAATATAAAACATACAATTTTTTATTTAAAACATGTATTACAAAAACGTTTTTTCTATATATGTTGTTTTAATAACATTTAATATATAAATAAAATCTACATTGTTGACATATACTGAATGGTTGCTACATATAATAGCATATGAAAAATAATCATGTAGATATTATTAACATTATGTACACATACACATTTTACTATTGGGTATTTTATGTATGTTATAAACTTAAATCTTCATTTACCCAGAGAATGTACGGGTGTGAAAATGATATATCACCTTATGGGTAACATATATGTGGCAATATCACTCTTGATATTAAGAAATCTATGTAATTTCTGTATGGGTTTCACATCGTTCTTCATTATGGCTGTTAAAGTCATGCACAGTAATATTTTGGCTAGCGTGTGAATACTGGTGAAGGACTATATATTTAAGAGACTGTGTGCTGTATTACATCTGGATGTGAGATGGTTTGCTGTGGTTCTGGAGTCTGTGGACTCTCGCTGCTCTTTAATGATGATGAACAGACTCATGCTGACCTGAAATGTCCTGATAGACGCACATTACTCTTCCTGAGGTCTCCTCATATCTCAGCAGCTCGCAGTTACTCAAAGTGCTTTGACTACAGTCTCAGAGTTACGCAATCGACTCGACCGCGCTCCAGTTCTCATCCGCTGTAAGATGAAATGAGATTACGGCAGAAATGAGGGATCAGAGACGATGTGAGTGTGTTGGTTATTCATGGTCTGCTGCTCGTGCTGCTGGTGTGTGCTGTCTACATAGGCACCATCTGAAATGCATCCTTATGAGTGACCGCTTTGAAACACAACTCATGCGACGAGTGTTTCTTACAGAGATCACACAGGAGACTCCCTGAACAAATGATTCCAGTGCTAATAACATCTCACTACTCGAATAAGCATTAAAATTCACAACACACACACATACATTGAGTAAAACTGTCTATTTTTAGATATTTTCACCAATATTTTTACATATAGTTATGCTTGGCATTTCTCTGCATTGTCAGCCTGTTTTATATTGAACTTGTTGCAATGCAGATCACAGGAAACTGCTCATTTTCGATGGAGACAATAATGTTATCATTTTCAAAAACGTGCATTTTGAAACCCGGTTTCAAAGGTTTGCCCCAAAATGCAAAAAAAGTTTTCAGTTTTTAGTTGAAAATGGTGCTGTTTAAACACCCCTTTAGCCCTGTTTCTGTTTGTGTTTGTCCATTCTCGTCTTTGTGTTGGTTGTTTTGCCTGTGTTTTCTCCTGTGTTTTTGGTTTTGTGTAATACTCTTAGATACTCTTCAGATTTTATGTCTTCAATGTTGTGGCAATTTTTCCCCATGTAAAAAAAAATGGTATTGAATATAAATATTTTTTAAGGTATCATATCGGAGTTGGAAATTCTAATATCGTGACAACACTAGACTCTTGCAAATAAAGGGGGTTTTCACAGTGATTTGGTTCCTCGAAGGACTTTTCAATGAACAGTTTTTAAAAGAACCATTTTTTCCTCAATGTTAAGACCATCTAAAAAAAACAACTTTTTCCATGTTTTTAACATTGCATGGATGTTACAGGTTCTTCATGAAGGCATCGATGCCAATAAAGAACATTTCTAAGAGTGCTCACACCTATAAAACAGCCAACTAATTAACTGTGTGGTTAATATCTACTCTTCTGCATGTATGTACAGATAGGGTTTGGTATCTGAAGTCCCTGTGCTGAAAGCAGTCTTTCTGAAATGTCTGAAGAGCTCATGTTTGAGACGGTGACTCATGCTGAATCATGTCTTCATGGCTGGAGTCTGCTGGTTTCGTTGAGTCATGGAGAAGGCTTATGCTGCAGACTTACATTCACTCCTAGCTTCATTCGATCTCAAATGGCTTACCATCACAAGCACTCACAAATCAGGCAACCAACTTGACTTAATTTACACATGCAATTGTATTGCAGACAACATTTTGGTATCATTTCATTATAACATTTAACCTACATCTTGCTATCTGTGTGCCACCGGTTACTTTTAGGTGAAACCTATGCTCTCTTTCACCCTCCCATCTTTCCTCTGTAGTATCCTCCTCTCTTCCCTCACCCACTCATTTCTCATCTCTGAAGGTGAATGCAGTAACTTCTTGTCTAGACAATATATATGTCCTCTCTCCTCCCGGCCAGCACACGCTACCCCGTCTAACCCCTGGCTATCTGATGTTCTTCGTGAACATCGGTCCAAACTCATCCTCATCCTAGCAAAGACTGAGCTTCTCGTCTTCCCGGCCACTCCGACTCTAGAGCACGACTCTACATTTCACCATCCAGCTAGGTTCTTCTACAATTACCCCATCGACTTCGGTTAGAAATCTTGGTGTAATCTTTGATGACCAGCTGAGCTTCAAAGACAACATTGCAAAAAAAGCTTGATCTTGCAGGTTTGCATTGCACAACATCAGAAAATCAGGCCCTTTCTAAAGGAGCATGCTGCACAACTTCTTGTCCAGGCCCTTGTCATCTCTAGGCTGGACTACTGCAATGCTCTTCTGGCTGGACTTCCGATCCGCTAGTGAGCGACGCCTCGTGGTACCATCACAGAGAGGCTCAAAATCACTTTCCAGAACATTCTCGTTCACCGTTCCCAGCTGCTGGAATGATCTTCCCACCACTATCCGGAATGCTGAATCCCTGACAATTTTCAAGCGACAGCTGAAAACTAATCTCCTTCATCAACATTTGACTCCCTCCCTGTCTATTCTGTAAAAAATTTTTGATCTGGTAATGTTTAATCAGAATGTCATAGCAGTGGGATGAGACGCACCGGCCAGTGCTCTCGTGGCCACCCACAGGCCTCGGCCGACTTCTCAAATAAGTCAATGAAGGCACCTGGGTCGTCCTGCGGCCCCATCTTACGAGATGAAGCCCCTCCTGGTCCATCCAGCTCCGGAACAGATCCCGGTCCTCCTGCTGCGCCTGAACTAATGTAGCATACTACCATTTGAAATGTTAGAATACCATTGTTTGGAGGCAGTATGCATCAATAAATGCTCCAAAGTAGTATGCAACATTGTCACATGAGCTCATTACTTAAATGTTAGATTATTTAGATCAGATTATTGAATATTTTTACCCAGTTTTGTGTAAAATATCTTCACTTTTGGTGGTCTGATCAAGTGAGGAGTCAAAAAAGATGTTAAAAACCACAGCTGATGCACTGCCAGCTGATCTGTCACACTGGAAATAGAAGGTCAAGTCAAGAACACTGCACTGTGGGATACAGTAGTGTACTGCACACTTCAGCAAATGTATTCCATGCATACTGAAACTTCACATGCTGCAGAAATAGCAGGACTGGTATGTTAGTATGCTGAACACGTTTGTGTATTTGGTTGGAGGCAAACATCACAGTAGCTTCAAAATAATCCAGCTTGTAACATTTCAGTGCGTGTGTGTGTGTGTGTGTGTGGCATCACTGTAGTGTTTCATTCTGTGCATCAACCCTAGTGAGCTGCAGACCTGCACCGCGTTTTGGGCATCTCTGAGGCAGCTCACTGGGTTTTGAGACACGGCCTGCGCTGCAGTTCCAGTGTGTGGTCCACAGGGGGCGTTAGGACCAGCGTTCACTGCGCGTCTCAGCTGGGCTCGAGACTGAGAGCGCGCTCAGTCCTGCTCAGATACGCGTTCATCATCTTCATCATCATCATCATGTCTTCGGCGGATCACACAGTCATGCACGGCATCTGGGGCAGTCAGGCGCCCGCGGGGAAGGCGATGGAGACGCCGAAGAACAAGGGCTTCAGCCTGATCAGGATGATGTCTCTGAATTACAGGAAGGAGAACAAGAATCTACAGCAGCAGCACCACAACAACATGCCCTTTATGATTCACTGCCACATCGGCAAAGAGATCAAACACATCTGCAGCAACTGCAGCCGCGGCAGCCACGCGCAGCACGGTGAGTAACCGCGTTCATCTTGCGCTTCTGAGCGACGCGACGCGACGCGAGCGCACAGAGCTGTTCACACAGGACGCGCTCTTGGGCTCCGCGTTCAACTTGTTTCATTTTTTGGTTTGCAACAGTATGTACATTTGCGTATTAGGACGCGTTCTTGCGTTCAGATTTTGCTGTTCTTAATTATTGGCCTCATGTACACATGTGACCGACGCGTGTGCGTCGCGTAAAGCGCCAGGAGCGTTGCGTTTTTAATAAGGCGTGTTCAAATAGCAGGACTCGAAACCGATCCGGAGCTTCTGTTTCTGTCCTGTGTGAACGCTGCCAGAAGTGGTGTTCACAAGGAATTCGTTTTTCGTTCTGTTTTTGCATAATATTTTATTTATTATTGTAAATTATACATATTGGTTTATAGTGCAAATAGTTTTAGCATTTTCTGCACTGTTATTTTTCTGTAGCGGCTGATGAATCTGAAGTCTTGCACATTCTAGAAAAATAGCTTTCTTCCTTTTTGCAAAATAAAGTCATGTGTGTTTTTGGCTTGTTGTTATGCACAGCCCCAAACTGTGCCACACAACTCAATCACTGATGTGTTAACAATTCTATACTGAGATTGAAATATGTATGAATTCAAAATTGACTCTATTTACTTTTACACACAATACTTGTCTTGTGGTGAACAATCAATTCATGCAAGTTAATCCAGAGGAAAAAAAATATTGTTATTTATATTCTTGAAGTCAAAATCTGCAAATTTGCTCTGAAGTACATCACAATACTTAAGTAAAGTCAGTCGCAACTTCTAGTTCACGCAGACTGTGAAGTTAACGTTTAGGGAAGGGTTAACTGGTTCAAACTGGTTTGGTGGAAAATCACATGTTTTTTTAGCATCTGACGCCATGAGTGTTGATTTTTGTAGGCATTAAACTGCCAGAATTTTTAAAGACTATATCTCCGTTTGCATTTAACTTTCAGCTTCATAACTTTGCAGATATTGCTTATGCTCGAACAGCAACATTACACACTACCTAACATTAAAAAAGTGAAATCGCAATGAACCACCCTTTTAAAAACATGTGGTAGAACAAGTGTTGCAGTTGTTTATATTTGAGGGTTTTTTTTACTTGTTAGTTTGTGAACACACAAGTTCATTCATTCATACAGTGATGCACAGTGATAAAGCAGCAGTTCGTTTTGACATGCAACCGTGTGAACAGGGTTTTGAGATGGTCGTCTTTGTGTTGTGTGTGCGTTTTTGCCATCCATCAGTTCAACCCTAAAGCACTCATCTCCAGTCCGTGTGTCTTGATGAATTTTCAGGTAAAACTGTGCAGCATGTGAGCAGCTTCTAAAGGCTTGTAACTTTCTGTTTTTCGCTCTTCAAATGAGGCGTTAGAGACGGATGACTGGTGTGTGTTTTGGGCTTCACTGACTGTATAACGTCGCAGTTTTGCTCAGTCAGTGTAGATCATACCGTCAGACCATCAGCAAACGTATTAAATCCGCTGGTTTAATCCTCTTCATTAAATTTCTCTTTGATTAATGTGCGTCACACGTGATAATATGATTAGGATGGAGCTATAAATACCCTGCTGAATGCATGTGATCGGCACGTGTTTGTCACATTGTGTCCTTGTGTTTGTCATATTGTGTCCTTGTGTTTGTCACATTGTGTCCTTGTGTGTCCGTGAGCGAGCGTGGCGTGTTCCGGTGGAGCTGTGCTGATGGTCTGCTGTAGTGGAAGTGTGTGTGATGTATGTCTGTAGGGACTGTATTTGACCTACTTCTGTGCCTGCATTACTCACGCTGCACTTTCAGCAGAAGACACAGAAATGGCACGAAATGAGAGACGATGTAGAGCCTGAAGCAGAAATCATGTGAAGCTGTTGGTTCTGGCGCATCAGCTTGAGACTCTGTGTTCCTCTACAGCGGAGGAGGTGGAGAACCTGGCCTCCATTCACTCCGAGTCCCTGGTGTCCGGATCACACTGCAGGAGCAGGTTTGCCTCTCTGGGACGCCTCTTCAAACCCTGGAAGTGGAGGAAGAAGAAGAGCGAGAAGTTCATGCAGAGGTCAACAGGTAAATGCATATTTCTGTTAAATATACCCCATATATTAAAGGGGTCATCGGATGCCCATTTGATATAAGTTGATATGATTCTTTAGGGTCTTAATGAAAAGTCTATAACATACTTCGGTTCAAATTTCTCAATGGTAGTGTGAAAAACAAAATTTTTACCTTGTCAAAATCAGCTCTGTTTTCAGCACGTCGTTCTAGTCCATGTTGCTTTAAATGCTAATGAGCTCTGCTGACCCCGCCCCTCTCTTCTGTTGGGTGACTAGCAGTACTGTTTACTTTAGACACGAAACTTGCTAACTAGCACATATTAGGAAAGGCGATTTGCAAAGATTCATAAAAAACCTTATACTCACTTCTTCTGTAGATGAAGCTGGATCACGAATGATTCGCGCGAACATAGACGCATTTAGGCAGATCGGGGATCGGCGCATTCCCTTCAAAACGAAAGTAACGTTAATCCTCTGCGTCTTCAGCGGCTCAGATGCCGGGAGTAAATGACGACTGCTATGTTCATTACATCCAACAACAAAACACCTCAATCACTTAATCGGAGACATTCTTGACTTCCCATGCACCGGAGTCGACACAATGGCAGACAGTTCTCAGCTCACTCAGGGCGGAGCTAAGGTGAGATGGCCTTGTCAATCAACTGTCGTGGGAGGGGCCTGTACAGAACTACGTCATTCTGACAGGAATCTCAGAACAGCCTGATTTGAGAGAGGGGATTTTAAAATAGGGATTTAAAAAAAACACTGGGTAGATTTTTATCATTATAGGATGGATGTTTACACTCACTTCCAACACACATTTATGTTCAAACAACAACAAAAGTGAATTTTGCATCCGATGACCCCTTTAAGACAAATACGTAATAAAATGTACGTTTAGATTCATTCATTTGGCAGGCACTTTTATCCACAGTGACTTGCATTGCTTTCAGATTTAATCAGTGCATGCATTCCATGGGAATCAAATCCATGACCTTGGTGTTGCTTGCGCTGTACTGTTTGAGCTACAGGAACATTTCATGTAATCTTGCAAAAGATTGGGTTGTATTTAATTTCTTCTGCTTTGAAGGGTCAGTCGGAGCAAAATGCTGCATCCGGCAAAAACAACAAATATATTTCAGAAGTCAGTTTTTGTGTTTCATCTTCTGTCTCTTGAGTGCAGTGTGTTAATGAAGAGAAACTGCAGGGATTAAAATATATAAAGTCTAGTTTTCTGAGTTACTGAACAAAATTAAGCAAGTTTATACTTGAAACAAGAACAAAAATCTGTCAAAGGGGAATGAAAACTTGTTTTTGTAATTTACTTTTATCCAAAGTTGCTTTGCATTCAAGCTTTACATTTGATCAGTTTATTAATTTCCTGGGAATTGAACCAGTGACCTTAGTGTTGCTGTTGCAGTGCTCTACTGTTTGAGCTACAGGAAGATTTGATGAGATGTAAATGCTCCAAACATATAATGCAGTGATTGAGAGCTGAAGAAATAAAGGCTCCTCAGAAGATGTGAGATGTTCTGGAGGCTTGTGAAGATCATTCCTCCGCTGAGGAACAGTGAAAGTAAAGCTTCTGGAAACAAACGCTCCTCAAAAGATCCTGAGGATCAGATTTGAGACTCTAAAACATGATTGATGGAGAATCAAGTAAAGCTGAGCTGCTTCAGTCCAGTAAGTGTTCATCTGGAGATATTACTGCAGTTATTCTGACCTTTACTTGATCAAAACCAGTCAAGATCTGACACGAGAAGCTCCAGCTGAAGCAGTTACACTAAAAGAGTTTTGACTGGATAAAAACCTCTAAACTCTCAATCAGAGACATCTCATGTTTGTGTGTGTGTTTCAGCTCTGGAGAGGAAGATGTGTGTGCGTCAGAGCCGAGAGGAGCTGATCAAGCGAGGAGTGCTGAAGGAGATCTTTGAGAGAGGTGCTGAGCTTCATGCTGTTTCAGTGTCTCATATCAGTTTCTGTTTGGTGAAGCACCGACCCATTATCTCATATCTGTTTTTATGTTTTTTAGTAACGGTTCGTAATGCATCACATCAGGGTGTTTTGTAGGGCACTTGCACAGCGTTGCTAATACATACGTCATATTCACAGACAGTTTGAAATGCATACAGTAATATAAACATTATTTTACATTTAGAAAATAGTCATGTCTACTGATTCCTAACTTTCCACATAGCATTCTTTATGAATTTAATAACAAACTGAGAAATCTGATTTTCCCTGATCTTTTGACATATAAGCAGTCACTGTGCTATAAAAACATGCTGTGCGTTTCAGAACTCAAAATTTCCTTGCTGCTAAAAAAGGAATACATTTCTACTTTCTGCTCTTTTATGATGAAAGCAGAAATGGAGCCGCAGTGGTGAGATCAGTAGACTGATCGTCTATGAGAGCAGATCTGAGTATAACACTACAATCAGCACTCTTCACCGTTAGCTCATCTCATTTCATCTCATAAACCTTTTCCAAAGAGCTCCACATGTAGTATTATTTGATATGCAGAGAGTCAGCCAATCACAGCAGCAGCGATTACACTGAAGGCTTAAAGGAGACACGGCCATTTAACCCATGGAAGCCTCTTTCTGCCACAGGATAACAAAATAAAAGGCAATTGCAACTATTTATTTTGCAATTGTGAGATATAAAATAAGAACTGCAAGATTAGTTGCACTTACTCTTTTTATTTTTATTCCATGGCAGGAAAAAGAAAAAGAAAAACATAACTGTGAGATATAAGCTCAGAATTCAGAGGAGAAAAAAAAACATAGAAATTGAAATTGTGAGAAAGTCTGAATTGTGAGATTAACAGTCACAATTACTTAAAAAAAAAATTTAATCCAGTGGCAGAAATGGGCTTCCATATTTAAGTGTTCAAAATAAAAGGTTAAAATGACCTTTTATTTCTAAATGATGTCTGTTAGTTGATGTGAAAATCCTGCTAGCATTATAAGTGCAGCTCAGGAATGATTATAAACGTGATTGACGTGTGTTTGTTCTGGCTCAGACTCCAGAGCGGAGAACGGATTGCCATCTGACTGTGAGCGGACCACTGAGGACAGACTGAGGACCGGTGAGTGTGTGTGTGTGAGACTGAGTGTGAAAGTGTGTGTGTGTGAGTGAGAGTGAGCGTGTGAGAGTGAGCGTGTGCGAGTGAGCAAACCATTACGCCTATGGAATGTCCCCATAACGTGATGAATACACAACATGCGTGAGCGTGTGCGTGTGAGAGCGAGTGAGCGTGTGTGTGAGTGTGTGTGTGTTTGAGTGAGTGTGAGTGAGCGTGTGTGTGTGTGTGTGTGAGCGTGTGCGTGTGTGTGTGAGCGAGAGTGTGCGAGAGCGTGTGTGTGTGTGTGTGAGAGAGTGAGCGTGTGTGTGTGTGTGAGAGTGAGCGTGTGTGTGTGTGTGTGAGTGAGTGCGAGTGAGCGTGTGTGTGTGTGTGTGAGTGAGTGCGAGTGAGCGTGTGTGTGTGTGTGTGAGTGAGTGCGAGTGAGCGTGTGTGTGTGTGTGTGAGTGAGTGCGAGTGAGCGTGTGTGTGTGTGTGTGAGTGAGTGCGAGTGAGCGTGTGTGTGTGTGTGTGAGTGAGTGCGAGTGAGCGTGTGTGTGTGTGTGTGAGTGAGTGCGAGTGAGCGTGTGTGTGTGTGTGTGAGTGAGTGCGAGTGAGCGTGTGTGTGTGTGTGTGAGTGAGTGCGAGTGAGCGTGTGTGTGTGTGTGTGAGTGAGTGCGAGTGAGCGTGTGTGTGTGTGTGTGAGTGAGTGCGAGTGAGCGTGTGTGTGTGTGTGTGAGTGAGTGCGAGTGAGCGTGTGTGTGTGTGTGTGAGTGAGTGCGAGTGAGCGTGTGTGTGTGTGTGTGAGTGAGTGCGAGTGAGCGTGTGTGTGTGTGTGTGAGTGAGTGCGAGTGAGCGTGTGTGTGTGTGTGTGAGTGAGTGCGAGTGAGCGTGTGTGTGTGTGTGTGAGTGAGTGCGAGTGAGCGTGTGTGTGTGTGTGTGAGTGAGTGCGAGTGAGCGTGTGTGTGTGTGTGTGAGTGAGTGCGAGTGAGCGTGTGTGTGTGTGTGTGAGTGAGTGCGAGTGAGCGTGTGTGTGTGTGTGTGAGTGAGTGCGAGTGAGCGTGTGTGTGTGTGTGTGAGTGAGTGCGAGTGAGCGTGTGTGTGTGTGTGTGAGTGAGTGCGAGTGAGCGTGTGTGTGTGTGTGTGAGTGAGTGCGAGTGAGCGTGTGTGTGTGTGTGTGAGTGAGTGCGAGTGAGCGTGTGTGTGTGTGTGTGAGTGAGTGCGAGTGAGCGTGTGTGTGTGTGTGTGAGTGAGTGCGAGTGAGCGTGTGTGTGTGTGTGTGAGTGAGTGCGAGTGAGCGTGTGTGTGTGTGTGTGAGTGAGTGCGAGTGAGCGTGTGTGTGTGTGTGTGAGTGAGTGCGAGTGAGCGTGTGTGTGTGTGTGTGAGTGAGTGCGAGTGAGCGTGTGTGTGTGTGTGTGAGTGAGTGCGAGTGAGCGTGTGTGTGTGTGTGTGAGTGAGTGCGAGTGAGCGTGTGTGTGTGTGTGTGAGTGAGTGCGAGTGAGCGTGTGTGTGTGTGTGTGAGTGAGTGCGAGTGAGCGTGTGTGTGTGTGTGTGAGTGAGTGCGAGTGAGCGTGTGTGTGTGTGTGTGAGTGAGTGCGAGTGAGCGTGTGTGTGTGTGTGTGAGTGAGTGCGAGTGAGCGTGTGTGTGTGTGTGTGAGTGAGTGCGAGTGAGCGTGTGTGTGTGTGTGTGAGTGAGTGCGAGTGAGCGTGTGTGTGTGTGTGTGAGTGAGTGCGAGTGAGCGTGTGTGTGTGTGTGTGAGTGAGTGCGAGTGAGCGTGTGTGTGTGTGTGTGAGTGAGTGCGAGTGAGCGTGTGTGTGTGTGTGTGAGTGAGTGCGAGTGAGCGTGTGTGTGTGTGTGTGAGTGAGTGCGAGTGAGCGTGTGTGTGTGTGTGTGAGTGAGTGCGAGTGAGCGTGTGTGTGTGTGTGTGAGTGAGTGCGAGTGAGCGTGTGTGTGTGTGTGTGAGTGAGTGCGAGTGAGCGTGTGTGTGTGTGTGTGAGTGAGTGCGAGTGAGCGTGTGTGTGTGTGTGTGAGTGAGTGCGAGTGAGCGTGTGTGTGTGTGTGTGAGTGAGTGCGAGTGAGCGTGTGTGTGTGTGTGTGAGTGAGTGCGAGTGAGCGTGTGTGTGTGTGTGTGAGTGAGTGCGAGTGAGCGTGTGTGTGTGTGTGTGAGTGAGTGCGAGTGAGCGTGTGTGTGTGTGTGTGAGTGAGTGCGAGTGAGCGTGTGTGTGTGAGACTGAGAGTGAGCGTGTGAGAGTGAGCGTGTGAGAGTGAGCGTGTGTGTGTGAGACTGAGAGTGAGCGTGTGAGTGAGCGTGTGAGAGTGAGAGTGAGCGTGTGAGAGTGAGCGTGTGTGAGAGTGAGAGTGTGAGTGTGCGTGAGTGAGAGTGCGTGTGAGAGTGAATGTGAGTGAGAGTGAGTGTGAGCGTGTGCGCGTGAGCATGTGCGTGTGAGAGCGTGTGCGTGTGAGAGCGAGTGTGCGTGTGTGTGAGTGAGCGTGTGAGTGCGTGACTGCATGTGAGTAAGTGTGAGTGAGTGTGTGTGAGTGTGCGTGAGTGCATGTGAGTAAGTGTGAGTGAGTGTGTGCGTGTGTGTGAGTGAGCGTGTGAGTGCGTGACTGCATGTGAGTAAGTGTGAGTGAGTGTGTGTGAGTGTGCGTGAGTGCATGTGAGTAAGTGTGAGTGAGTGTGTGCGTGTGTGTGAGTGAGCGTGTGAGTGCGTGACTGCATGTGAGTAAGTGTGAGTGAGTGTGTGTGAGTGTGCGTGAGTGCATGTGAGTAAGTGTGAGTGAGTGTGTGCGTGTGTGTGAGTGAGCGTGTGAGTGCGTGACTGCATGTGAGTAAGTGTGAGTGAGTGTGTGTGAGTGTGCGTGAGTGCATGTGAGTAAGTGTGAGTGAGTGTGTGCGTGTGTGTGAGTGAGCGTGTGAGTGCGTGACTGCATGTGAGTAAGTGTGAGTGAGTGTGTGTGAGTGTGCGTGAGTGCATGTGAGTAAGTGTGAGTGAGTGTGTGCGTGTGTGTGAGTGAGCGTGTGAGTGCGTGACTGCATGTGAGTAAGTGTGAGTGAGTGTGTGTGAGTGTGCGTGAGTGCATGTGAGTAAGTGTGAGTGAGTGTGTGCGTGTGTGTGAGTGAGCGTGTGAGTGCGTGACTGCATGTGAGTAAGTGTGAGTGAGTGTGTGTGAGTGTGCGTGAGTGCATGTGAGTAAGTGTGAGTGAGTGTGTGCGTGTGTGTGAGTGAGCGTGTGAGTGCGTGACTGCATGTGAGTAAGTGTGAGTGAGTGTGTGTGAGTGTGCGTGAGTGCATGTGAGTAAGTGTGAGTGAGTGTGTGCGTGTGTGTGAGTGAGCGTGTGAGTGCGTGACTGCATGTGAGTAAGTGTGAGTGAGTGTGTGTGAGTGTGCGTGAGTGCATGTGAGTAAGTGTGAGTGAGTGTGTGCGTGTGTGTGAGTGAGCGTGTGAGTGCGTGACTGCATGTGAGTAAGTGTGAGTGAGTGTGTGTGAGTGTGCGTGAGTGCATGTGAGTAAGTGTGAGTGAGTGTGTGCGTGTGTGTGAGTGAGCGTGTGAGTGCGTGACTGCATGTGAGTAAGTGTGAGTGAGTGTGTGTGAGTGTGCGTGAGTGCATGTGAGTAAGTGTGAGTGAGTGTGTGCGTGTGTGTGAGTGAGCGTGTGAGTGCGTGACTGCATGTGAGTAAGTGTGAGTGAGTGTGTGTGAGTGTGCGTGAGTGCATGTGAGTAAGTGTGAGTGAGTGTGTGCGTGTGTGTGAGTGAGCGTGTGAGTGCGTGACTGCATGTGAGTAAGTGTGAGTGAGTGTGTGTGAGTGTGCGTGAGTGCATGTGAGTAAGTGTGAGTGAGTGTGTGCGTGTGTGTGAGTGAGCGTGTGAGTGCGATTGACGTGTTTTTGTTCTGGCTCAGACTCCAGAGCGGAGAACGGATTGCCATCTGACTGTGAGCGGACCACTGAGGACAGACTGAGGACCGGTGAGTGTGTGTGTGTGAGACTGAGTGTGAAAGTGTGTGTGTGTGAGTGAGAGTGAGCGTGTGAGAGTGAGCGTGTGTGTGTGAGACTGAGAGTGAGCGTCTGAGAGTGAGCGTGTGTGTGTGAGACTGAGAGTGAGCGTGTGAGGGTGAGGGTGAGAGTGAGCGTGTGCGTGTGAGAGTGAGCGTGTGCGTGAGAGTGAGCGTGTGCGTGTGAGTGAGCGTGTGTGAGAGTGAGAGTGTGTGAGTGTGCGTGAGTGAGAGTGCGTGTGAGAGTGGGTGTGAGAGTGAGTGAGTGAGAGTGAGCGTGAGCGTGTGCGCGTGAGCATGTGCGTGTGAGAGCGTGTGCGTGTGAGAGCGAGTGTGCGTGTGTGTGAGTGAGACTTCTTGTCTTTGT